ACATTATGGTCTCTCTTTATTATAATATTTTCCTATTAACTTTTGTTTAGTTTTAATTCCTTTTAATCCAAGATAAGTAATCGCCTTAGCTTTACGTAGTAACAATATATAACATTAGTTTGATTATTAGTCCATGTGGGTTCGATATCTTTTTAAAACTATGCGATTAGACTGTGCACTTGTAGTTAGCTAACCCGATAGACTCTTAAAGTCGCGATCAAATACTAATTAGAAAACAAGAAATCCTAAATTATAAAGCAATAAATCTTAACTAAAAAGCAATAAATCCCCCCCCCCCCCCCAGACACTAAAATCAAACATTGTCCACAACCTTGAAAGATATAAGTAAGAGAAAGGGTAGATAAAACCTGGAAATCTACGTCTAAATGTAGTTGATGGATACCAGTGCTAGTGACATGCATCATTCGGGTGAAATTAAATTGTCCTAAAGGTACCTCCTATGCAACATTTGTGGGTTTCCTCCTATGCAACACTTTATTTAAAATCGGTTAGCTCGACTTTGATTGACCCTCTCAATTAAGAAGGTACCTCTTTCATATTTGAATCATCAACATCGTGCCAATAACTTAAGAGAACCATTTTAACATCTCCAACCAGTTCACATGTATTTCACCTTTGTATCCCTTTCTTTTATGGGGACGTTTATACTTAAGGTCTGGTGGTAGAGGTTTTTTCTTCACCTTGCAGAACTTTCTATGTGCTAGAGTTAAGCCTTTTTTCTTAAAGTTTTGGTATTGAGTATCAAGACTTTCATCTGATACCTTGTCATAGGCCTCAAATTCTTTATCTTTCCCGCCTTGACTAACATCACTCACTAGGTATACTTTCACTATGTCGGGGGGATTTGTTCAGAGGGGGACTCATCGACATGTCCTTCAACTATGTCGAATCTGCAACAAAAGTTCTTAAAGGTAGGGATTTTTATAATTTTGGACAACAAGAACTCGTTATTTTCATCCCCTACTTCTAATGCGAGCTTCCCACGCTTAACATCTATAACCACTTCGGTTGTGGAAAGGAAGGCTCTTCCCAATAGGATTGGGATTTTAATGTCTTCCTATATATCCATTACAATAAAGGCTATAAGGATGATAAGTTGCCATATCCTTATTTGTTCATCTAATGTAATTCCTATAGGATACTTGATCGATCTATATACTAGTTGCAAAGATATTCTAGTCAGCTTCATACCACGAAGGCCACAAAGGCCTAGTTTTTCATAGACGAAGAAATGCATCAAACTCACACTCGCCCCTAGATCACATACAACTTTCTCGAAACTCATCGTGCGTATAACACAGGGAACTGAAAAACTCCCAAAACTTTTAATTTCAGAGGTAACTCATTTTTTATTATAGTGTTGCATTCTTTTATCAGCACTAAAGTTTCAGTATGTTCCTGTTTTCATTTGTTTGATAGAATTTGCTTAAGGAATTTAGCAAAAGATGACATTTGTGACATCGCCTTAGTGAAAGGGATATTGATATACAACTTTTTCAAAACCTCAACAAACTTCCTAAAGTGGTCTTCGTTCTTGACTTTCACTAATCTTTGCAGAAACGAGATATGAGGTTTATATGACAGGGGAGGTACATAGGAATATACATTTTCTTTCTTAACTACCTCCTTTTCAGGTGGTGTGGACTCTCTCTCATTTTTATGTGGCACAGACCCACTCTCGTCATCCTTTCCTCTATGACCCTTGTCAATAGTGATTTCCAGATATTTACCACTTCATAACATTATATCATTTACGTATCCCCTTTGGTTTGGCTTTGGTTGTCTTAGAAAAATTCCAGCAGGGGAAAATATATATGTTTATTGTTGGGCTACTTGAAAATTTTGAGATTCAAGCATCTTGCCCCATATACCTAAGTTCTTTAATTATATCAACTAGAACTCTGTCATAATGACCAAAAGCACGATCAAAAGATGATTTATTTGATGTGGAGTCCATACATATATGAGTCCCTACACTACTTGCAATGACAAAAATAATTTTAAGGCGACAATATTCTTGAGAAATTCCACGAATATGAACCCATACCTGAGTTGAGGTTTGATTGACATTGGTAGGGATAAAGTCACTAGTCCAAGGAAAAAACATAAGAATCCTTTGATTCAGGTTCCAAATGTTCACTGAGCTGACTCTTCTCACATCTTTAATGTTAGATAAAGAGAACTTGAAAAACCAATAGGGATGTGATGCCCCATTTTCCTATAGATTTCTATTGAGAAGCAAATTTGGCACGTAAGTAAACAACAGTGAAATGGGATAAATCTTTGGTCCATAGTATCCTGCCATAAAAATTATGCTTGCAAGCTTCACGACATAATAAATACTCATCTTCTGGTGTTGCTATAGATATGCGATCACCTTAAACACAAGGGATAAATAGTTGACTTAATGAAATGTTGTAAACATTACACTACAAGAAAAAACAAAATCAGTCAGGGGATAATCCCCTCACAAATGGAAAAAACCCCTCACAAATGCAAAAATTGCGAGGGGACTGGTCCCCTAGCAAAACAGAGGATCGCAAATTTATTCGCGAGGGACTTTCCATGTCGCAATTTTGCTTGGGGCTAACCCCCTCGCAAAATGCAATCAAAATTTTCAGACATTTTGCTTGGGGCTAACCCCCTCGCAAAATGCAAGTGTTTTCCATTAGCTAGGGGTTAAGCCCATGGCAAAATGTAAAAAAAATTATTAAAAAAAATAAAAATATTAATAGAATAAAAGTATATTAACATTAACAGAAAAAAATAATATTATAACTATAATTAATATAATTAAAACTATTTCATTATATTATTTTTCTAAAATATCAATAATGTTTTCATGATAATATATTTATTGCCTTATTATTTTTTAAAGTATTATAACTAAAAAAATCATTTTACATACTACTATTTTTTATAAATATTTTTAACTAGTTTCTAGCATACTTATCATTATAAATAAATAATTTTTAATCAACAAATATTTATGCAAACATCACTCATAATCATTATAATAACAAATAATAACAAACATCACCTATTTAACAACACTCATTTACAACTATAATAACAAACGACACCCATTTACAACTATATAAGTAGATTTAAGAAAAATTAAACAAAATATATATACCTTTGATGAACATCCAATTTGGATTTAAATTCTTTTATTGTCTTCAATGATAAAAATATATCTAACAACATAAAACGAAAACTAAATATTAGAAAGAAAAAAACATAAATTAAATATTATATAAAATATAATTTAAAAGAACAATACCTTTAGTAATTAATAAAAATGAGAGATGAATGTAGAAGAAGGTGAGAATATGAGAGAAAGAAAGAGAAGAAAGAAATAGAGAAAAGAAAGAGAGAAAAGAAAGAGAAGAAGAGACACAAATGAATCTGGGAAAGTAGAGATTTTTTTAAATAGGACAATTAGTGAGGGGGTAGCCCCTGGAAAAATGTTAGTTATATTTTGTGAGGGGGTAGCCCCTTGCAAAATGTAGAGCGGTAAAATTTTCAAAATTCAAAAATTTCTCCTATTTTATTTGCGAGGGGTAGCCCGTCCCCATTTATTTATTTTTCTTCGATTTTGTCATTTGCGAGGGGGTTTACTCCAAGCAATATCAAAATTTAGTGAGGGGTTTATCACCACACTAAATCCCCTAGCTAATCAAGCATTTTCTTGTAGTGTTAATTGACTGCTTCAACGAAGGTTTTGGTAATTTTTCGATTTTACTAAGGTTGTTGAATGATTTTTCGAAAGGAGCTGCGGTTGCATAGTTTCAAAGAATAGGTCATCGAGTTGAGCCGTAGCCATTGTAGAAAGCTAGGAGAAGAAGGTGACATTAGATCAACAATGCTTCTGATGATGTTAGAAGGGCCAGAGCAAAGTCAAAGTCATGAAAGCATTTTTAATTTCAATGGTTAAATATGTTTTTGGTCCCTATAAATATCTTAAATTTCATTTTTAGTCCATATTAAAAAAATTACATATTTTTGTCCCTATAAAATTTTTATTCATTCATTTTTTGTCTCTGTTATTTTCTAAAATTTTAAAAATTATTTAATTATCCTTAAATTTTTGAATAATTTTTTTCATAAGTGTTTAGAATACTATAAAATATTTATTTATCAAATTTTAAAATTTTTTAAAATGAGAATAATTAAATATGAATTTTTTAATTTTCAAAAGATATTGATAAAAGCAATGAAAATCTTGACTTAGAAATCAAATTTTAAATTATTTTTTTTCGATTTTTTTTTATAACGTTATAAATATAGCTTGAAAATAATCATTCAAAAATACACATCGGTTTAATAGCAGAGATTAAAACTACATATATAATAATTTTGTAAAGATTAAAACATGCCAATTTTTTTATAAGGACCAAAGACAAAATTTGATAATTTATAGAGACAAAAACATATGTAACCCTAATTTCAATTATACAATAGATGTAACAAGAATTAGTTGAATTTAATTTTTCATTTTTGTAAAAAAAATCCATTTAAATGAAAAGAACTTACTTAAACCCTTTTGGACAAATAAACTTAATTAAACCAAATCTATACTCAGTGACCTGTATAATGTTGAAATTCAAACCTTCCGACAAGTTCATGGATCAGACAAATGACGAGTTATCTGTCTTTATCACCGGCAACTGAATTGCTTGCAGCACCAATTATTGTCATTATATTTATCAAAATTTCCAAACAACACTATGCTTTTAATACTAAAATAAAATGAAACAAGGACAAATGGTACAGTAAGAAAGACGTTCGTCCATTATTTAATATACAAATAAAATCAATTTGCGTCATTCATTGAGCAAAAAAATATAATATTTATACAAGTATTTCCATGAACCACATGCATTTATAGACTATAGTATTGAAGTTTATGAATATAAATACCTACCACTCTTTATTCTTGTTTCTTCATTAGGGCTAAGGGTCACACAAACATAGTTATGGGAAATTGCATGGAAACATACACGATGAGGCCAATGGAGATGGAACAACAAAAAGATGAGATTAATGAGAATAAAAATGGTGTAAGCATGAAAATTGTGCTAACAAAAGAGGAGCTTAAATGGCTATTATTTCAACTGAATGAAAAAGGAGGGATGAAAGTGGAACAAGTGCTTGAAAAGATAGAGAAAGGTAGACAAAAAATTGAGGGGTGGAAACCTTCTTTAGAGAGCATTGTTGAAGCTCCTGAAATTCTTGAGATCTGTTGATTTTCACACCCTCTCAAGTTTTCTTCTTTTTTTATTTTCACTCAGAGCCTTTTTGTAGTGAGTGGCTAGATCAATCTCCTACTCTTTTTTTGTTTGTAAATCTTGATTAGGGTGCAGGAATTGTTTCAGTTCGATCGAGGAAATATATTTACATGCGTTATTTTCTGTCTTTTGACTTAGAAACCAGTGTATATTCCATCTTCTCTTTGTTGTTAACATGGTATAGTGGTGTTTGATCGAGTAAAATAACACATACCTTGTTGTCCAGAGTATTGGGACCTTTTATTCGAGGATGTCCATTATCTATAGAGCCGTCTTTAAGGGCGTGCAAAGCAGACTATCGCACAAGATCTCAAATTTGTCAGAGTTAAATTATAGTTAAATAGAGGCTCATAAAGTATTTTCTAGACTAAATTGTGAGTATAAGGTCTCTATTTATTTTGTCATAATTAAACTATAACTAACCTACACATAACCTTCAAAAAATTGAGATGACTCTCGTTATCCGACCTTAATTTAAGAGAATATATAAAGGCATCAAGGCCCCTGATAGCATCAATATCGCTTGGTAAAAGAAGTAATTACACATTCTCCAATAATTTGGTGTCAAAGAATCTTGGATAATTATCTCGAAAAGAGAGTGATCAAACTCTTAAGAGTCATTATGCACAACTGTGTTTTGTTCCATTTTTATTTTACTTTTGAGTTAATTTTTACCTTCTAATGAATATGAATACATAGTTTATAATCATTATTTATTGTATAGTCTAATTTTTCAAACAACTATTTTTTTACGGTGAATTCTTATCTGCCTAACTCAAAAAGTTAAGTAAGGTTTTCTTCCAAGTAAAATGTTTTAAAAAATAAATAATGATACTATTTAATGAATAATTAAATATGTTAAAATTAAATAATATCACGTGATTGGTTGAAAGTACACTATCTAATTTTTTTGTGATGGATAGAAAAGTTGTCCTTTTTTTTACACATATGTTTACACACAATTTTAACTAACTATATTATCTTTTAGTAAATATAATTCTACACATTTTTTCTTTCAAAATGAACTCCTACCATCATAATTTAGGTCCAATTTTATATAAAATGATGGCAATCCTCCTTGTATTGCAAATAAACAAAGCACCTCATATTTTAGAAATACGTCTCATAACTCAAATTCACACCATAATTCAAATTTTATAAATTATTCTTTTATCTCTAATTCACAAAATAATCCACACTTTGTAAATTACTCATATCAATTTTTATGATACTAATATCACCATCAACCATTTCCATCTCAATTAACTAATCATACTATGTCTCACAAGGTTCAAATGGATATTACTGGCGCAAAATCAAATGATCAAAAACTTAAAACATCAAAATTTTACATTCAAGATGGCTTGAAAACTATTAACCTTGGTGAATAAATGGGTTCACATCGGTTGTGAATGTGCTGAAAACAAGATTTCATCCTAATGGGGACGAAGTTCTCATTCAATCATGACTTAACATTTCAAAGTTCTCAATTGTTGGAATTAACAAAAAAAGAGATAGTTTTGAAAGATGATTAATGAAGCTTATAGAAAGCATCATGACAACAAATATCAAGAGAGAAATTTAATAGCATTAAAAGGTCGATGACACAAAAAGGTTAATTTTTCCGCTTAAAAGTTTGTTAGATGCTACACTAAGAAACCATTATGAAGAAAAGCAGTAGCTCCAAGAACATAATCGCTTTGGCAACATATAAATTTATTACCAAGAATGACTTGAAAAATTCACATTTGAGGGAGTTGTATAAAATTGAGGAAACAATAGGGACTTATTCTCCTGGTTTCTAAATTCACTGAGGTAATAAATTACTTCTATTGTAAAAAATATGGTGAATGGACAAAAATTGAAAATAACATGTATTGTTTTCTTTTTTAATTTTTTACAATTAACCAATTTATTTGTGTGTTGTAATATTCAAACCAATGATTATATTTAAAACAAATTTTTTAAGATCTTGTTTTGTGAAACAACCACATTGCTTGCAATATATTATCAGTATGATTAGAAATAAATTTCTCAATGTTGTCGGTCGAGAAAAATAATAAATTATATAATATTTTCTTTGAATGATAATATTGAAAAGTTATTCTTAAATATTAGATATTCTTACAAGAGATGGAAACAACAACAACATCACAATCATGTGAGATAGATTATAAGAATACAAATATGTTTTATTCAAGGTGGGTGTTAGAAGAATAACAACATAGATTCTTGAAATATTTTTTAACTAATTAAGAAAGTTTAAAGATTTTTCTATCTTGCAATCTATCTCAAAGAATGATATTTACGAGTTTTGAGCAGTTATACATGAGTTAGATTTATGGTACAACTTAATGAACAAATGATTTTATAGTTAAATATGGGTATCTAACCCCTCAATTATTAATAAAACCGAATAAATATATCATTTAATTTTTAAATAAAAAAGAAAGACATCACTTATAAAGAAAAACATAAACTGCAATTGCTGAGATTCAAAACATGTCCTTTGAATTGATTTTCCCATTAGTTATTTACTCAATCCGAAGAAATATATGATATTTTTGTTAAAAAAATAAAATATCGTATCCGTAAATTATACTTTAATTTTTTATTGGATGAGGTGAAAATATTATCATAAAATATGTTATTTGTTATATTTCTAGCCACACGATTCTAGTGATTACTCAATATAGATGTGTCATAAGTGCTTCCTAGATATACCTCTTCATCAACCCATGGCTCCTCGGGCTACTCAAGCACAACCTTTATCACTTATGACTCAAAGGATGAGGTTTTGACACAGACAATGAGGATCAATCAGAACATAAAATAAAATAAAATTTTCATTTTAATTTGGTTTGTAATAATTCTTAGTTTATTTTAAATTGTAATTGTAATAATATTAATTTATAACTAGTTAATGTTTGCTTCTTTGCATTGAGTTTAAAAAAAAAAATGTAACATAATATAAACCTAGAAAAAGATGTCATTTATGACCCATTTAACTTTTGGAGAATTTTAGCTATAAGTAATTATTTTTTAACCTCTTTTAAAACAAATTTCAAATGAATTAAGTTTTCTCTTTTATGAGAATGAAGAATTAACTTTGTCTCTCTTTTGAATTTTTGGATTGGAACTTGCTTGAATCTTGCCAATAGTTTTCTTACCATTGTGAAGATTCTTTTGCCTTATCAATCTCTATAATTTTCACGCCTTCCTTATCAATCTCATGTGGATGAAACTTTGTCCATAGCATGTGGTATTTTGAGCTTATCACCAGAGAATAACATTTGTCATTAATTTATATTTTAAGTATTTTGTTTTGTTGAGAAATTTTAAATTTTAGATACATTTTATTGCAATTTGATCTAAATCTTAGTAATCTCGTATTATTAGTTTATTACAAATATTATAGTATGCGTGGGAATATTTGTTTTTATGATTTTTTGCTTTATATTGATAAAACTTTGAAATATAAAGGTGTTTGAAAGAAATCGACAAACTTTTTTTTTTTGTTGCTGTTCTACAAAGTTTGATATGCAAACTAGTTTCTTATATTATTTCTTCGATATATGTTCGATTCTAGAAACTCAAAAGCATACATTGCGTAGAAAAATGAGAGAAATACAAATATACATAAAATTTTGAACAAAGTGTTGCAAAAACGTGATTTAGCACAAAAGGGCTTATAAAAAAAAGACGGTATGTGCGTCTAACACATATTTATTGTTACATCAAATCTTGTTTGCCTCTATTATACATTTTACTCTTTAGCGTGATAGTATATACATGGATAATTTGGAGGGTGTCCCACATTTGTTGAGAATGGTAGTGATGATAATTTTAGCTTTCAGACTGCGATGCACTTTTTCTCTTTCCACTTTGGTCAAATCATCTTCTTTTTTGTTTACCACAACATAATTGAATTTATGTGGGGGAACAAATAGACCATTGCTGAAGCGGTAAAGTGACAAGCAAAAAGTAAGTTAATGATTTATTGGGTGATATTAAGGTTATATCGTATCGTGTCCACAGAGATTGGTGAATTGAAATACCGTTTGACAAATCTCTTGTTAATGAGTTTGAAGATAAATAGATTGAAAATAAAGGTATCAACATAAAATAAATGTATAAAAAGGAAAAAGAATAACTTATCAATGATGCATATATACTACTTATGACAGATTTAAACCTATTGATCTGTTATACTAAATCTACAATATTCATCAATGTCATCACGTGTCACTCACAACCTAAGTCATTTCTAATCCAAATTGAGAGGTCGACTACATCACCTCGGTAGCGATCTCTCAACCACCTCAACAACACAAAAATCATTTGTGCTCGCTTGTATCGACGATCTCTCAGAGCGACACAAATAACACAGAGACATTAATCACAAATATCCTAAGTGAATAACAACACTAAATCTATCTCTAGAATTCAGACATTATTAGATAATTATCCTAGATAAGAATTCAAGTAGTATATGTCTATAACAACTCAAATCCCTAGCTCAGAGCAAAAATCAAGGATAATAATCGACAAATATTTGTAAAGCAAGTTTTATATAACGACAATGGCGACAAATATACATGAGTTCAAAGAAAATACATATACAAACCCAACCAATAGAGAATATACAAATAAAAAGAGAAATGAACCCCAAATCTACCAATTTTTCAGCGCCGATCAAAGAGCAATCCACCCCGGATCATCCATATATAAGCTCCATAGTTGTTATCTAAGTTAATCCCTACAAAATTAAAGGTTGATGGAGTTGGGAGCAAAAACTTTCCCAAAACCATAACCTAACAAATGAATGAAATAAAGTTATAAAACAAATCTCAGTAGACCGCGCTAAGCGGGCTTGGCGCGCTAAGAGCGACTTCTTTATTTTATACATTAAATCGACCTAAACTGCGCTAAGCGTGATATTCGTGCTAAGCAGGTTT